TGCCTGAGATGGAGGCAGATACTATGACATGGAGAGATGGAGCGGCTGGGGACTCTAGACCCAGAGAGGGAGAGGGACTGTGTGCTGACAACCAGGGGCAGGCTTGATGATGCATGGAGGGGATTGTAACCATGGCAGTGAAACCATATATGCATGATCGGATGAATATAAAGCTAATGTTCTCCCATGTAAACTGTCACATAATTCACAATAAAACATTTAAATAAACAAATAATCTCAAAAAAAAATAAAAAGAGGAGTCCTGGTGTGGCGCTGTGGGTTAATGTGCTGGATTACAAGGTTAGTTTGAACCACAAGATAGGCGGTTCAAGCTCACCAACCACTCTTTAGAAATCCTATACAGGGTCGCTATGAGTCGGAACCAACTCCACAGCACTTAACAACAATATGGATCACATGGAGTCCTGGTGTGACACTGTAGGATAAGCACTGAACCACAAAGTCGGTTTGAACCACAAGGTCAGCAGTTCAAACTCACCAGTTGCTCCTTGGAAACCCTATACAGGGTCACTATGAGTTGGAAATGGCTCGATGGCACTTAATGACAACAATGGATCACATAGAACAATGTCTGATAAATTGCTGAGAGATGAGCCATCCAGGTTGGGAGGCACTCAAAGTATACTGGCCACAACAGTTGTTGTTAAGTGCTGTCGAGTCGGTTCTGACTCACAGAGACCCTGTATAGAGGTTCCGTGGACTCCAGCATACCAATGTTCATGGAGACAGCACAGGAGTGGACACTGCTTTGCTCTGTTGTGCCTGGGGCTCTGCCATGAGTTGGAATTGACTCAATGCAACCTGCAACAACAATGGCAGTATTAATAATAGTCGTAGTTTCTGTATTCTTCAGTGCTGTGCTGCTAAAGGCTCAACACATGTGAGACCCAGTGAATAAGCCTGTCTGTGTCCACTCCTTTGGCCTCCGAGAGCTGAGAAGAGAGGGAGGCACTTCACATGGCAGAAGATGAGCTGCATGTGCAAAGGCCCTGTGGTGGGGCAAGTGGCATGGCTGGCAGCAATGGAAGGAGGGCTGAGCGGGACTGAGAAGAGGTGGCCAGGCACTAGCAGGAGGCTTGGGTGAAAGAAGTTGGGAAGTTGGTGTCCTATGGGTGAGAGTTCCTGAAAGTCACTGCTGGTTCTGAGCAGGGGAGGGAGAGCTCTGGGAGTGGGTCTGGCCTGGCATCCAAGAGTTCCCAGATCACTCAGCCAACTGTGTTTGTCACCGTGTGAGTCAAATGGGATGGAAGCCACAGGGAGCAGGGGAGGTAGAGTCAGAGACACAGGTAGAGACAGAGATGTGGAGCAGAAAGAGAGAGATAGAGAAAGGAGGACCTGGAGAGAGACTGAGAGACAGAGACTGAGAAATGGAAATAGAGAAAAGGACACACCGGAAAAAGAAACACAGTGACAGAGAGAGAGACAGAGAAAGTCTAAGAGACAAAAACCAAAAGACAGAGAGAGAGGATGAGGAAGACAGAGGGGGTGGAGAGAAAAGCAGAAAGAAGTAGACACAGAGACTAAGGGAGAGAGACACAGGGACAGACCCCCCTCTAAGGACAGGATGGCAGAGACAGAGACCCACCAGAAAGAAGGGTAACCCAGAGAGACACCTGGGGCATGAGAGGATGGAAGGACCTGATGGAGACTCCATCCCCAGAAGAGAAAGGAAAAGAATGCTTGAGCCACCTTCTCCAACCCTTCCTGGCACACCCAGCCCAGGTTCTACCTCATGGGCACCCACATGGGGCATGTCACCAGGTTAAAAATGGAAACGGCTAGGGCCTTTCTGTTTTGGTTTTTTTTTTTTTTTCCTTCAAGAAAATCCTAAGTCCAAATAAGGTGAGTGCCTAGGAGGCTGATGAGCCGCCAAGTCTGTGACGGGCAGCCGGGCGAGTGGCGGCTGGCCCGGCTGGGCAGGAGGCGGTGCCCACAGAGGTTAAAAGGCCGCTCCTCCACCCTCGCCTCTCACTCCTCACTCGGCCCTACAGCCTCACCGCCGCCATGGAGGCCATCAAGAAGAAGATGCAGATGCTGAAGCTGGACAAGGAGAACGCCATCGACCGTGCCGAGCAAGCCGAGGCTGACAAGAAGGCCGCCGAGGAGAAGTACAAGCAGGTGAGTGGGGCTGGGCTGGCTCAGGGCTGCCAGCACCCTCTCTGTGCTGGTTTCTGGGGCCAGGGTCCGGGTCACTAAGGTCTTAGTGTCTGGGACTAGGGCAGGACAGAGTGAGTGAGGGAACCTGAAGGGGACTCCTGGAAGTGACTGGACCCATCACCACTGGGGACAGTGGGAGCCAAGAAGGTTTGAGAAAAAGGGAGAAGATAAAGCAAGGGGAGGGGGGTCCGTGTCTGTGAGTGTGCAAGCATATGAGCAAGTGTGTATGTCAGGTGAGGGGACCCACCTGAGCTTGTGTGCACTGGAAGTGATGCTGGGGGTGGGGGGGCTGCTCTCTGTGTGTATGCTTCCCTGGAGGGAGAGTGTAGAGGGAGCAATATGACTGTGAGGATATGGGGACACAAATACAGGTGTGAAAGAACACAAATGTATGTGTGCATGTGTGTAGCAGGGTGCCAGCATGGGTTTGTATGTGTGCTTGCACAAACAGTGGCATGAAAGCGATCAAGCATACATCAAGTGTGTGTGTGTCGAGGTGTGTGTTGGTGTTGGTCTGTGTGTTTGGTGTGTTTCTGTAGGCATGTGTGTGTTGGGGTGTGTCATCTGTTTGGAAGAGTTGAGTTTGTGTGTCACAGTGTGAGCCTGTTGGCATGTATGTGAGTGAGTGTATGTCTTTTGGGTGAGCGTGTTGGTGTGTGTGTTGGGTGAGTGTGTGAGTCATGGTGTGTATCTATTAACACGTATGTGAGGTTGTATCTATTTGGTGAGTGTGTGTGTCATGGTGTGCATCTATTAATATGTATGTGAGGGTGTGTCCATGGGGTGTGTGTGTCACAGTGTGTATCTGTTGACATGTATGTGTGTGTGTCTATTGGGTGAGTGTGTGTATCATGGTGTGCAACTGTTGGCACGTGTGAGTGTGTGTCTATTGAATGAGTGCAGTGGTGTGTTGGGTATGTGTGTCACGGTGTGTATCTATTGACACATATGAGTGTGTGTCTACTGGGTGAGTGTATGTGTCGGGGTGAGTGTGTGTTTCTGTTGAAGCGTGTCTGTGTTGGGGTGTTTGTGTCAGGTGCATGTGCATTGGAGTGTCTACGTGTGGTGGGTGTGTTTCCTCTGACATGTTGTGTGAGTGTGTGTTGGAGTGAGAATTGTCTATGTGAGGGCAGTGGGGTATGTGTCCAGGTGAATGAGTATTTCTGTCTGTGTGTTGGGATGAGTGTGTGCTTGTGTGTCAGGATGAACATGTATGTTGGTGTATGTGTCGGGTGAGTGCCTGCATGTCAGGATGAATGTGTTTGTCTAAGTTGCAGTGTTTTTGTGTCAAGGTGAGTGTGTGTTTCTGTTGGATGGTGTTTGTGTCATGTGTGTGTGTGTTGGCATGTCAGTGTGTGGTGGGTGAGTCTATGCTTCTGTTGGCATGTTGTGTGAGTATGTGTTGGGGTGAGTATCAACGGTGTGAGGGAGTTGAGATTAGTGTGTGTTTCAAGGTGAATGTGCATGTGTTGGAGTTGCAGTGAATTGAGGTTCCGAGTTTCTGTGTGTCGGGGTGTTATGTGTGTTGGAGTTCTGGTGTGTTGAGGTGAGTTTCTGTGTGTGTCTCAGGGTGAAGGTGGAGGCCTGGGCGCCAGATGGGTGGAAAACTGAGGGTGGGTTTCAGAATCTCAGTGCTTCTCTTCATCTTGTGTGAGCCCCTGCTGTCCTTACTGCTATCCCCAGGGTAGGGGCAGGTGCCCATTGCAGGTAAAGGGCAAGGTGGCCAGTCCCCCTACCCCAAGGCCCAGAGCTTGGAAACATGAGTTCCAAGCATGAAAGGCTCTCCGAAGAGCTAATGGGGGTCTGGGACAGAGTCCTGGGTGGAGCAGAAGCCAGCTCTCCTAGGGCTAGCTGGCCAGAGCAGCTGTGGCAGGAAGGAAAGGGTCCTGCCCCTCCCGTAGTGTCAGGCTCCCCAACACCCTGGGGTTAACCGCCCAGCCTTCAGGAGTTTCCAGATCTCAGATAAACCCTGGGAGACACCCACGTAGTGGCACCAATGCCCAGCACAGCCTGGCACCAGGTCAGCCCTCAGAGAAAAACTTTGAGCTCAGATAGGTCTTGTTCAAATCGGCGTTCCACCCCTGGGTCACCCAGAGCAACCTCTCTGTGACTCAGTGGGCCTGAATGTGGGGACAGTAACAGAGGGGTCTCCCAGCTGCACTAAAGGACTAGAGGTGGCTGTACAGCTGGAGCCTTTGGCCCCGCACCTGGCGCCTGGCACAGAGTAAGTACTCAATCAGTGAGGGGTTGTTTCCTGCCCCACCTGATTTCCCATTGGGCCTCCCCACCCCCAGTGTCCTGGGGCTGCCCTAAGTATCTGTGACACATCCACACAGACCAACCCCACCCAACACTCCCTGCCACAAATCCCCCTCCCTCCCTGAACCCCTCCCTGGCATACACAAACACCATCCAGGTCCTGAGCTGCCACTTTTCACTCATCATTTGACCCTCACCATGAGAAACTTAGCCAGAGAGTCAGAGAAAAGCAAATTTATGGCTCCAATTCTTGCTAAAGTATGAATGACTGATACACTTTAATTATCCAAGGCAGCTACATGTTTAGAACAAAAGGTTCTTCAAAAGCCTCCAACTGGCTACAAGACCAGAGAAGTATAAGCAGGTTCTCCACCCTTCATATGAATTGCTATTCTGTCTGCTGTGGTGGCCTTGAGCTGAAATCTTAGCTGGACTGTCCTCTAGCTCTGTGGCTCAAGGCACATGGCTGTCCCTCTCTAAACCCTCAGTGCTCTCATCTGTGAAATGAGGGTAAATTATGCCTTCTGACGGCTGGGACAGAACTCAAGACCCCAGATCCAAAGCACAAATCAGAGCTCCCTGTCCCACCTCCCTCCACCACCACCATTGCCCACTGCCCACCCCACCAATTTGGCCAGTCCTGGCTGGGGGCAGGAAGGGGTTTAGTTTACTCAGAATGGTTTACACTCCAGGCAACCAGCCAACATGGCTCTGGTGATCAGTATGACCCTCAAGGACACTGCAGTGATGCCCCAGTTCCGGCTCTGCCCGTACAGTATGGGAACCGGACAGGGAAGGCCAGCTCCCACTTCCTGTCGCTCCTGAGGCAACAACATCTACCAGAACTGGCCTTTGACCCCACATCCTGCCTCAACTCTGCCTAGAGACTCCATTGGCAAGGACAAAGATGTGTGGTTCCCTCCCTCTCGGCCATTTTACAGATGGGGAAACTGTGGTCCAAAGGAAAATGACTTACCTGAGACCTCATAGAGCCAGGGCCAGGCTCTCCACGTTAGCGTGAAATGCAGACAGAAGGGTCAGGACTCTTCTTCATACCACTCTTATTCATTCTCACACCTGGCCTCCTGCCACTCAAGGACTTGGGGTGGGGCATTTTTTATTCATCCCACCAACTTCCCCTAGGCTTCTATTGTGAGTATCAGATCCATTCCCTTGCTGGATGATGCTGGAGTTCTGAGTGACTTCAGCCCCAGGTTAGGGGAGATAGAGCCAGTCGCAGATATCCCAGGCTCAATGGTCAGGGCAGGGCCAGAAGGAGGGAGCCCCAGGCAGTATGAGGTATCTGCCCATGGCAGGGGGTGTTGGGGCTAGGCTATCAGAGTCAGTAGGAGCCCCCCTCAGCAGAAGGTGGATAGCAACAGACTCAGCAGACATAGTGCTCAAACCAACCAGCTTTAGAGTCAGTTGGCCAAGGGATCAAATCCCCATTCATCACGGCCTTGGACAAGTATCTCTCCCATCTGGGGGTTCAGTGCACCCTATTATATCACAGAGGCTCAAGGAAATAGAGCTTTAATTGGTCTGGTGCAAATGCTCTGTACTCGATTAATAAGGTTGATGGTTCGAACCCACCCAACGTTGCCACAAAAGGAAGGACTGGCAGCCAAGAAAACTCTCCGGAGCAGTTCTCCTCTGTAACAGAGGAAGTCGCCATGAATCATTACCCACTTGATAACGATGCGTTTGGTTTGGTGTTAGGTACATTCTAAATGCTCCATAGCTCCCCGTCCAGCCCAACCCCAGACCCTCCCCAATGTTCCTGTCCAAATGTGGTCAGAAAAAGACTTCAAGACCCAAACCCATCTTTCCACCCATCGCTGGAAATGTTACTGTCACTCTTAAATGTTAAGAAAGAACTGTGACAGGCACCTGGTCAGCACTCAGCAAATGCTACACCTCACAGAACTGAAAGGAAGTCAAAGTTAGGTGACCCAAGAGGTGTCACCTGGCCTGGGAACATCTGGCAACTCCAGCTCATTTTCCCAAACAAGGAAGGAACTGAGAGATCACACTAAGTGCAGGTTTTCATTCTGTAGATGAGGAAACAGAGTTCAGAAAAGGGTGCAGGGTCACAGAGAAGGGGAGTCTGGTTCCTGGGCCCCCTGTCTAGAGGTTTGCGTCAGGCCTCGTAGATTCTGACTTTGGACTAAGCTGTCCCATCTTCCCTGGGTCCTGCCACCTCCCTCAGCCACCATGAACATCTCTAGAACACAAGGATGAGTGATCCTTGAGGCCGTCAGACAAACCAGTTCTCCCCACTCTCTGTGACATCTCAGCTAGGAGTATGTCCGTGACTTCAGACAAGCTCTTCCACTCTCACCTGGGCTGCCATCCCCTAGCAGGACACTCAGCAGTCACAGAGATAAGTACCTAGGTAGGGGCCTTTATGTGTACCAGTCCACACACAAATTAACACAGCCACAAAGCACTTAGTAGATTGTACCTGGTACATTGCATCTGGTACCGTGCACCTGCTACAGTTAACCTGGTACTTTGCTCCTGGGTACATTGCACCTGGTACATTAACTTAGTACACTGCACCTGGCACATTAACCTGGTACAGTGCACCTGTTACATTAACTTAGTACACTGCA